TTTTTAATTATAAATTAATGTAAAAAAATATTATAATCATTTAATGTTATTAAAAGTAAAAAAACAAAATTAAAATTTATTAGATAATTATTAATTAAAAAATGTGATCACAAATTAAAAAATTTAAATGGATGAATTTGTCAATAAAATTAAAAAATTTTAATCCGCTAGCGGTTTGGTACAAAAAGTTACATAAACTAATTTTTTTCAATCCGCTAGCAGTTTGAACCCTAACCGTTATCCACTAGTCTTAAACTGCTAAATTAAAGTTTTACCAAACACTTTATTTGTAGCGGTTTCAAAATATATAAATTTATTAAACACCTATATTTAGTGGTTTAAATAAAACCACTAACTGCTACCCCAAAATCATTATACGAAACGGGGCAGAAGAAGAAGAAAAGGATTCATCACATGCTATAGGAGTTTTATATGGGACATGCTATAGGAGCTTTATATGGGACAAGTCAACCTGTAGCGTTGATGAGACCCGCAAGACTTGAATTTCCATACTAAGCAGTGATTACTTAGTAAAAGAAATTGACAACTAATGGTAGTTACATATCCTATGCCCAAGAGTTAGCATTTGCATATATGATTATCAAATATATGACATATTCCAGAGCGCTAATAACTAGTATATACCTTATAAGTGAATAAATAAATAAGGGGTAGGTAAAGATTACTCACCTGTATCTCAACAATTTTACTGATTTCTTTGGAGTCCAGAGGCTGGAAAACAATATACTCATCAATACGATTCATAAATTCTGGACGTAAAGTCTGTCTGGCCAACTCTTCTACAACCTGTCCTTTCATCACCTCATAAACAGCCTCCTGTGTAGTTCGAAGAGTTTCGAGAATATAGTGAGAACCGATATTTGAAGTCATAATTACTACACAATTTGTAAAACTGACAGTTCGTCCTTGAGAATCAGTTATCCTTCCATCATCCAACAACTGTAACAGAATATTAATTACATCTGGATGAGCCTTCTCAATTTCATCAAAGAGTACCACTGAATATGGGTCTTCGACGAACTACTTCAGTGAGTTGCCCACCTTCTTCATAACCAACATAAACTGGTGGGGCCCCAACCAAGCGTGAGACTGCATGCTTTTCCATGTACTCACTCATATCAATTCTGACAAGAGCATTCTCTGTATTAAAGAGATAACCAGCTAAAGCCTTTGCAAGCTCAGTTTTCCCAACACCAGTAGGGCCCATGAACATGAAGCTAGCTATTGGTCGATTTGGGTCAGACAACCCTGCCCTTGAACGTCGGATTGCGTCAGCCACTGATTTTACTGCAATATCTTGACCAACTACTCTCTTACGGAGCACCTCTTCCAGCATTACCAGTTTGTCCCTTTCTGACTGCTGGAGGTTTGACAAGGGTATACCAGTCCATTCGCTGACAATTTCAGCAATATCTACATCAGTGACTTCTAGAAACAAGGATTTTCCAGAATTTTGGAAATCATAAAGGTTCTTCTCAGCTTCTTCTAACTGACGTTGAAGGGAAATTAAAGTACCATACTTGAGCTCAGCAGCACGATTTAGGTTATACTCACACCCAGCAGCCTCCATTTCTAGATTAACTCTATCAATCTATAAACATTTGAAGCAAGTGAGCCAGAAAATCAATTAAAAAAAATAGTGATTCAACACTAGCAACTATGAAATTATGCAAAATTTTACCTCTTCTTTTATTGATCGGATCCGAGTCATTAGAACCTTCTCACGATCCCACTGTTCAGTTAATTCTTTCTGCTTCTGTTTAAGTAAGCTCAAATCATTTTCCAGCTTGCTCAACCATTCTTTGGGTGCCTTATCAGAGTCATTTTTCAGGGACAGCTTCTCCATTTCCAATTTCATCACTGCTCTGTCTATCTCATCCAACTCTGTTGGCTTGGAAGTGATCTCCATTTTCAGCTTTGCAGCCACTTCATCAGCAACATCAATGGCTGAAAAGCGTGACAGATCAATTAAAAACTTCCAACAAGCATTGTAAACCCAAATTATTTTCAGTCAACTTGGGATGTATCTATATAATGATTATTCTATTTTTCACTTTTTCCTATTCCAATTGCAATTGTTATGCTCTCTGGTTTGATATCAAACCATCAACCAAACCATAAGACTCTCTCCAATTAATTCTCCAATACACAAAGACAAACATATTTTGACTAAAAAATGTACAACAATTTTGTTTCCAAAGACAATACATCAACTTTGTACCTTTGTCCGGAAGAAACCGTTCTGTGATATATCTATCTGCAAGGACTGCTGCTGAAACGAGC